AGTTCTCTTACATTCTTCGCACTCCATATATAGACTAACATATTTAAGTGCGCTGTTGCCCTCAACCACACTTGGAGTGGGGGTCGTCCGTAGGTGGATTTTTGACACGGGTCTTGCCCCGTGTTGAGATTGCGCTGGAACCCCCATTCCCTATACTACTCGCACACACACACTGAAAAAGAATAGGAAGAAAAGCGTTTAAGAATTTCAAGTTTTTATATTTAATTAAGCATTAGCCGGTGAATAAGTCAGTCAAGAACAAGAAAGACGCTAAATTAGCACTGAGTAAATTCAACTTCGTTGTTCCCCCACATTAATCATTTTGGGTTTTCGTTTTCATGTTAAAATAATGAGCCATCAGTTTGCACATGATTGCAGTTGCCTCCGGACTCATGTCATAACGACTTGTTATTGATTCTACATTTTAAATTAATGAACAGTATTTTTGCAGCAAAAGATGAACACAAAAGGTTTCAAAACGTGTTGGAAAACGTAATAATAACTTGTTATTGATTCTACATTTTAAATGAATGAACTATTTTTGCCTCAAACTGAGATGAACACCAAAGGTTTCAAAACGTGTTCAAACGTAATAATAACTTGTTATTGATTTTACATTGTAAATTAATGAACTATTTTTGCCTCAAAAGATGAACACCAAAGGTTTCAAAACGTGTTTGAAAATTTAAAATTTGCTAAAAGAGAAAGAAAAAAGAATAAAATGATGGAGGGAAAGATATTCCAAAATTATGACTTTTGAGTCTGACAATCTTGTTTGCTCACCAGGAGCCTACTTCAGATAAAAGCGGCAAATAAAGATAAAATCAAATCAAATACACTGTTGAATTTTAAATTTTGTATGATTTTTGTCTTCTGTTTTCATTTCCTTTTTGTGTATTTCTTTTATTCAAACATTCATTATTTTATCTTGAGCAACTGTTAAATACAGCCGTTGACTTTTTTAAAAAGCTTTTGGGAAATTTCAATTTTTTCTTCAAATAAAGGGATTTAGTTTTATATAGAAGATATTTGTTTCAAAATGCCATAGACATTCGTACGGTTCTTTTAAAAACGTTTTGAATCTTTGCTGAGATAGCCTATTAACAAGGCAGCTTTTTAGTCTCTTAGATAGACTATGCTTCCGTTAACCATACGACTTATAGACATTAATTTTATCGACGCCCTGAGACAATCTCTGAGCTGGCTAACTCACGGATCGAACCCTGAGACAACCTCTGGTCCAATATACGACTAACATATTAGTCAGAGTACGGCTAACTCAAGGCGCGATCGAATCTTGAAATAGTCTCTGGGCCAATATAATTCAGGATACGGCGGCTAACTCACAGATTGGGATGGAATTTAGTGTTGCTGTTTCTTTTGAGGGAAGGAAACAGGAGAAAACCATCAAATCACGAGAGAGACGCGACAGTCATTGTCAAACCTAACTTGTCATATGACGCATTTTACCTTCCAATAAATTTTGAACTACAATTTGTCGCTTAAGTTCACAATGTAAGTAATGAGAAAACCTCCTAGATTCATAAAAATGCGTTTAGACCTCAGATTAGTGTCAAGAACTTGTCGGAACTAAGCCATCTTGACTATGACTCGCCGGCAGTGTTTGTGACGGCTTTTCAATAATGCAATACTTATCAACTTGAAAAATGGTTTCCTATGAGTTAAATATAATTTTATGCCGGTCTTTGTAGCTTTGTAAAGTTGATTGAGCCTGCATCATTACGAGCAGCGGTATACATTACACAGGGATCCCATTTTGGAGGTATACGAAGATTTTAAAATAGGCGACAATCGGAACGTTTCAGTTATTGTTGGTTTATTCTTGTCGTGGTAATATTAGCTGAATGTCTCGGTTTTCAAGTACAAAATTCAAATTCTATTTTTGATACCAAATTTCTAATATCTTTTCGTGTTTTAACACTTAAAAGTGCGTTCCTTTTAAGGGTTCCTTCAACCCACCCCACCCCTCCCCCCGTACGCACATTCAATGGTGCTCCAAGGTCCTTGTTAAGAATATAAGGAATTCATTCTTTTTATAGGTCGCGATAAAGACTCTGATTATTAAAAGAGAAACCACAAACGTCATTACAATTCTCTACGTAATCGATCCCTCTAAAATATGCGCAGCTTCTCGTAGATTATTCCGTTTGCGCGTCTTTTTGGTTTTTTGAACCGTCGTCACCTCAACCTTTTTATCCCCTTGAGCGTCATCATGACGTCTTCATTGTCGTCAAGCACTCGTCCATTTTTTCTCCATGACGCTGAAAATAACCCTTATGTAACAACCCCTCGAAATGTGTACACTCTTTTTGCCCAAACGATAAAGAAACTCTCTGCCTTGCAAATCATCTAAAAGCAATGTGATGTGTTTAAGTGTTGGTGGCGGTGTGGGTGTGATGGTGGCTGGGAATGCTAGGAATCTGTTGATGTTACAAGAAAATCGTACGATGGAAAGGTTATCGTGCTGTAATCACGAGTGCGTCTGTGAAGCGGGCGTACTTTCGTCAGCTATAATAATGTTTTACGAAAACTGATTGTAACTAAAGAAAGACTAAAGGTTATTTACAAATATTTATAAACGTCTTGATAGATCATGCTCGGGGAATTAACCTTTATTTTTTCTCAACAGGCCACCAATAACGTTGCTGTTTGTTTACTTTTTCTGGGGAAATTAAAAGAGGTCAGTTAACTCTCCCTATACCTTACATTCACCCTTATTAGATGACTAACGATGACTAACAATGTTTGTACAAGGTCCAATCGTCGGACAGTTGGGGTGTTTTTTTAAAGCATGCTAGTTTATTAGATAAGGAAAGTGCATCTACGCGTCTACTTGAGATCTGCACCTCAGAGGTACTCCCGCCTTTTCGTAATTCGTCTAGACGAGATAAGAGACTTGTTCTTAGATGTACTCCTTTAACCGCTCGCGACCGGCTGCCCGAAAAAAGGGAGAGAATGGAAAAGAAAATAAGGGGATTGAAAAGGAAAACTGAACCAAAAAAAGATGGAATTAATTGAAAGTAAATGAAAGTAGAAAACAGTTTGAGAAAAGAAAACAGAAAAGAAAAAAAAAAGAAAAGAAAAGAAAATAAGAAAAAAAAGAGAAAATCAAAGAGTTGTTGTGGCAGTACCTGCAAATTAGCAAAATATCCTATATATTGAGCTAAGTGTATTTTTGACCACGTTGAATAAAGTTATTGTATTGTATAGAGGATATTGTTTTTCTCGCTTCTATAGGGAGCTAAGTATTTGAACGAAAACTTTTTTTTGAACTTAAAGCGATCGTTATGGGATACTCTGGGGACTTACTTTGATGACATTCTTTTATTTAGGCCCTACAGGTCCTGGAGAGCATCATCTGGTCCAACCCACCCAAGAACCTAAACGACGGTCTTCTCTTTAATCTGTGCACAATATACGAACTGGAATCATCTTGGAGCTTGCAGAAGAAACAGAAATTACTCGAACTTGTTTCTCAGTACAAAGGAGATGGTTTTAATGTCTCATGTTTGAAAATTTCTTGATGGTAGTAGCAACAACCGTGATGGCCGGCGTAACTTCTATCTATAGGATAATTATACTGGAATTATTATGCTTTGTGAGAGTTTTTATGCCAAAAAACAGAGACAACGGTATACACGTCTTTGAAAATAACCAAAAGCAGTTTGTTATACTAAACAAATCAGCAAGGAATTACACCATTGATGTTTTATGCGAAAGGATTTGTTAGACAAAATAATGATAGTAGCAGTCGCCATATTTCTGTGATTGATGTTATATAGTATTATCATAACACCTGTTGATTCGACTAGTTATCCCAGGCGCCTGTGTCTCTTCATTGTTTACTGGTTGCCACCTGAGGCTATACTTCCAAATGCTCCACAGTTTTCAAAAGGTAATTTGTCTTATCGTAAAGATTTTGTCACTTCAGAGATATGTGGTTTTTCAGATGGAAGATACAAGCGAATAGGGCGAGAATTAGAGAAAGATTCCGAATTTGATTCCACGCAAATTAGGTGGTCGTGATTTATGAGGACATCGATGACAAGATATGGGGAGGGGTAATGTCATAGCTCTAAAGCTTTGTTGAAGGCGGTTATCAAATCATAGAATGACATATTGGGTTGATGGGGGAAAGGGGAAATAGGTTCTCGAGAGACAATCCAATGTAAACTTATTTCTAAGGAGCCAATAAAATACATTATCGTTGACAATCCCTCAAATTTTACGGCCTATCACGCTATTTTATCCAATTAAATGAGAGCCACTTTTACTAGCTTGCAAGTGTTGTTGGTCCTGGGAGAGGTGGGCGTCATTCACGATTTCTTATTTTCAATTTGAAAAAATACTAAACAGATGAACTCAAAAATCAATAAGCAAAGGCGAACAATATTAAAGGAAAATAAAGCCCATATTAGCCTTCGGTTCAGCCGGTATAATTTCCTAGAAATAACCGTACGGTTTTTCGAGGGGATTATACCGGCTGAACGCAGGCTAATATTTTAGTACAAAGTGACTGAAAAAGGTTGGGATAAGCCTCCTTAAATATAGTACCCGTCTTATGATTATAAAGATGTAGCCAGTCGATTGGATATATGAATCTAGCACTAGATGTTTATATTCTGTCCTACACAAAGGAATCGCTTGCTGCTGTAGAATAAATGAGGATATTTCTCCCCGCCGGCGGCGATTTATTATATAGCAAGAGAATTGTTCAGGTCACGGAAATCCGAATATGCCGCTTTACCTTGGGCGTAATGTTTCCCATCTCAGACCACGTATCATTCTTTTGAGAATAATACATTCTTTGTTTGAGTTGCATCCATGATCACGTGACAGTCTTCTCAGGGCTAACTGTTAAACAAAGAAATGATACTCTAGGAAATGACTCGTGGTTTGAAATGGGAAAACATTAGGGTTAAAGATAAAGAGGTTATATTAACAATTCGGAGGTCGAGGAAAAAACCGCTGGGTCCTGTAGACGTTGCAGTTCATTGTGGGGTTGTTTAAGGGTACATATTTCCAAGATRACGTCCATTTCGTCCCCTAAAAAAGCCCTAAAATGCACTGCGATGTCAACTCGACCCAGTCCGCAATGGCTAATTGAAAATTAAATTTCACTTTTTTTATTCTTAAGCCGTAATTTCCTTGTTTTGCACTGCGCATTTTTCATGGAACTAACAAAGTTTAGGCATTTTTCTTTCCGAAATTAAATAAGGAACATGTTCAAAACCAATTTTCACTTTTTTTCTCTATTTTGAGTAGAGAAATTGCGATTTTTATCTGACTCGCCTCAGACTCCGCTCGGAAAAGTGTCAGTTTTCGACTATTTGAGATGTTTTTTCAAGATAAATCAAAAACGAGAATGGTGACCCCCATTTTTTATTTCAGATATTTGATAAATGCGATGCTCGTCACCATAAATCGAAATATGAAGGAAAGTTCATTGGATAGATTTTGAAACACTTTGATGGGAATAGTTGACATGTGCAATTTTTCACATGAAACTTACGCTTAACAAAAGGTCAACAAAAGGAAACTGACGCTCACGCCCCCTCCTAAATCACGGTCAAACACACAATTTTGAACATTTTTTTGTACATTTTGTTGGATATATTCATCTCTTCTAACAATATGAAAAAGGTAGCAACGGAAAACGATAGAATAACATCTCCTTTCAATGTTTTTAGTTTTCTGGATCTCGTAGATTATTTTTTACCCCGGTCAATTTGGAATTTTTGATCATCGGTGAGGTCAATGTTTGTATGGCTTTCCTCATATTTCAGCACACGTACGTGCACAAAAACCCCTATAAATAGCTCCAAAATCAACCAATCAAAAAGGTAGCAGCTGAATTGATTAGTATATGGAAAAACCCGCATTTTGATGTAAAACAGACCCACATTCGTAAGGATTTTACGCGGTCAAAATGAATTCGAGTGTTATACTTCTTGCCTCTCTCGTACTGATTCTCTTCGCTGCCCCTGCTGTCGAAGCACTTGGAGAGCAATCTTCCGAAGGAGGTTCGAAAGGAGCAGAATTTCCTCATTTTTTCCACGAAATCAATAAGTAAGTAGCGTTGGAATTGATTTCTGGAAATGCGCGGGAATACTATAGTTTTAATTATATGTTTCGTAATTTTACAATTTCAGCTTTCTGATTTATACATTGTCGAAAAAAATACAACGCGATGGTGGAGAAAGCTATGAGTCGGCATTGAAGACTATTGTTGAAAAGGTTCTGGACGAATCGGGTCTTAAAGGGATCACCGTCAACAACAGAATTATCAGTGCGATCAAAACTCAAATTTACAATTTACAAGCAAAAGTTAAAGCAGCACGGTTAAAAGGCGGTGGCAGGTTGGCAAAGAAAATTTTAGACTCGTAGAAAAATGGAAAGACCTATCGGTTCAAAATATATTACAACGAGTTAGATGTTGGAAAACTTAAAGAGGAAAAT